CTAAACATGCCCAGCTCCCTTAGCTGTTCCTCATAAGGCATCGTTTCCAGGCCTTTGACCATTTTGGTTGCCCTCCTCTGGACACGTTCCAGTTTGTCAGTGCCCTTCTTGAACTGTGGTGCCCAGAACTGGACACAGTACTCCAGGTGAGGTCTGACCAGAGCAGAATACAGTGGCACTATTACTTCCCTTGATCTAGATGCTATACTCCTATTGATGCAGCCCAGAATTGCATTGGCTTTTTTAGCTGCCGCGTCACACTGTTGGCTCATGTCAAGTTTGTGGTCAACCAAGACTCCTAGAAATGCCAAACCTGTGATAATCACCTGAGCCCCTTCTTTGTGTGTCTCCTCTATGAGTGGTCCAGAAGTTGGCAACATGAGAACAGTCTTTCTGCTTGTGGAATGCTCTCCCTAAGGAGACTCTCCTGAACCTTCATTTCATATCTTTAGGCGCCAGGCAAAAGCATTTCTCTTCAACCAGGTGTTCAGGTGTTGTTGTTTTTTAATGTGTTTGTGGTAGGGCAGCTTATGGGTTTGGGTTTTTTTATTATTATTATGCATTTTGCACTCTCCTTTTGTATTTTTTATCATCCTTGCCCTGACAAGCTTACAATCTGAAGTTGGACAGCTTTGCGAGAAGACAGGAGAAGCCCATGTACCTGTGTATTCTATTTTCCTGTGTTGAACTTGTGAAATCATTTATGTTTCTTTGTTACAAGTTTGTTGCTATAATTTTTTAAAATGGTTCCTCTTATTTTAAAAAATAGTTGAAGTTCAAAATTTTCTGTTTATGGCAAGAACTATCTGGAGGTCATATATATGAGTTGTTTTTTAAAATTATTTTTGTTTATACCTCTCCATTGGCCTATATACCCTCCAACACGTCTCTGAAGAAAACAGGGGTGTCCTATTCCATAATGATGATGATGATAATAATAATAATAATTACACTCTGGGCGGCTTCCAACACATATACAAACATAATTAAAACTATATAGGGCTGCCTTCAGATGTCTTCTAAAGGTTCTATAGTTACTTATCTCCTTGGCTCAGGGGTCACATAACTTCATACCCTCCAACATTTCTATGATGAAAATAGGGACGACCTAAGGAAAAGCGGAACCTTCTGGGATCAAATAAAAAATGGGACAGCTTCTGAAAATTTGGGTGCTACTGTCGACAGTAGCAGCCAGGATCTTAATAGCAAGAAACTGGAAAAGTGAGGAAACATCTACAATAAATGAGTGGCAGGTCCAAATGATAGAGTATTTGCAGTTGGCTATGATGACGGGGAGAGAGGGTATCCAATACAGAAAGTACAGAAAGAATGGAATTTTTTAAAAGAGTATTTGAAAAATTATTGTAATACCGATAATCTCCTGGCAGAACTTGAATGATTCTTGTAAAATAAAAAGTATAGATAACAACTCCTTTTTTGATAAGAACAAAGAAAATAAATGGTAATTTGAAACTGTGTGTAAAACAATAATAGCAACAACAATACAATGAGTCTAATTGGAAGTCAAATTTATTTCCCCCCATTTTTTATGCCTTCTCTCCCTTTCTCCTTTTCTCTCTTTATTTTCTTTTCTTCTTTTCTCTCTTTTTCTTTCTTCTTTGTTATGTAAAACAGATAAGGTTTAAAAATATATGGAACGTTGATCCAGTTGTTGTGATGTTTTGTAATGCTTTTGTTGTTGTTGTTTAGTCGTTTAGTCGTGTCCGACTCTTTGTGACCCCATGGACCAGAGCACACCAGGCACTCCTGTCTTCCACTGCCTCCCGCAGTTTGGTCAGACTCATGCTGGTAGCTTCAAGAACACTATCCAACCATCTCGTCCTCTGTCGTCCCCTTCTCCTTGTGCCCTCCATCTTTCCCAACATCAGGGTCTTTTCCAGGGAGTCTTCTTTCTCATGAGGTGGCCAAAGTATTGGAGCCTCAGCTTCAGGATCTGTCCTTCCAGTGAGCACTCAGGGCTGATTTCCTTCAGAATGGAGAGGTTTGATCTTCTTGCAGTCCATGGGACTCTCAAGAGTCTCCTCCAGCACCATAATTCAAAAGCATCAATTCTTCGGCGATCAGCCTTCTTTATGGTTTTGTAATGCTATCTATGTATTATTAAGGGTGGTCGGATGTAGTGAATAGTGAATTGTTGTGTTAGTTGTTGTTATTGTTTGAATGTTAAATAAAGGCTTTTTAAAATCAAAAAGGGGGAAGGGGGGGAGAGAACATTTGGGATGTCCCTGGAGGGTCTGGGCTTATGGTCGTCAAAATGGTACAGAGCCATCCGCAGTTCCTTGGGTGCTCTGAGCCATACTTTCTATGCACAAATCATACCCCACAGTAAACTACTTGATTAAGATACAAAACGTTGTTGTTTAGTGACTTTCCCCCTCAGTAACCTCCATGTTCAAAATCATTTTTGTTTTGATTTACTGCATTTGATATTTATAGGCACAGATTGAGACGCAGTATGCTTTTGCCTGCTTTTTCTGTAGGCTAACATCGATACCATCCTTTATGTTGCAGCAAGGGGTGGGGTTTTTTTATTGGTTGCTTATCCCTTAACACTGAAGAGAATCTGTGGGTAAAACTCTGACTCTTAACATTAAATGGAGTTCCGCTTTTCATAGCTGTGGAGCCAGGATGTTCACCTGATGTTTCTTTAAAGAGGTTGACACACACACAAAAACCCACCCCTTTTGCTAGAAACTGCATTGTTAAGCATGCAAGAGAAAACAATCTGAATAAGGAAAATCACTGTTAAGACTTCAATGTGCCATATGTCCTTTAAAGCTTAATTACAACAGGGGCACAACAAGAAAGCCATTAAACTTGCACCCTATTGTGCATAGGTATTAGAAGACATATGGTGCGTTTCAAACAAAAGTATGAATTTACTAGCATTGATTAAGGGAGAGGGGTTATTTTGTCACCATTTCTTTAGATGCCAGAAATGTTTGAAACTAGTGCTGTATATCAAGGATGGAGACATCCCTGTAGCCAGAGTTGGACAAATGGTTACGCTACCTTCCCTAGAGCTGGAGTTGTTTTTAATTGCCTCTTAAATTTGAGACAATGGCAGCCTCTCTTTAAAGAATGGGAGCTTGTTTTAAGAAAGGGAGCAATTTCAGAACGGGACCCTCTGAAAAAAACAGCAAATATGGCAGGGTGTGCGCACAACAAAAACCTCATCTGGGGGAGGACACCCCAAAGTCTGCTCACTCAAGACTTTCCCTGACTGAGGATGGATTTTCATAATCGATATCAGTGTTTATGTGGGCAGAGGATGAATGGTGGAGACCGCCTCCCCATCCTGACCCCTCCATGGAGGAGGAAGAGGAAGACAGTATAGATTTACAATAGGGATTTGAGGGAGGTCACAGCTCAGAAGCAGATGTGGGGGAAAGTTAGGAAATAATTGACAAGGAGGAGGAAGCAAAGCCAGAGCAGCTGGCTGACACGTTATCACTAGAAAGCATTCCAGACCCTCCATCTCCCAGAACCCGACGAGCCTTAAAAGTAGGAGAGCAAAGAGCTCAAAGACAGAGGGCACGTATGACAAATGAGGAAGTGGGAGAGATGGGGGGTGGAGATTCACTCAGGACAATGCCATTATCCAAGAGACTGGGTTCTATAGTCTCTCTCTGTAATAGTGAAATAAAAAAGGATGGTAAGAAACTTTTCATTGTCTTTATACTTTCCTGGGCAACCAGCAGACAGCCGCTGACAGCTTCCTGGTGGTTAAAATTATTTGAGTGATCCAGTGGGAAAGAGAAACAAGCTTGTATAGTAGTATGACCATTGAAGAGTTAAATACCAGAACTTTGCATTATGGGCTAGAATTAGACTCTGCCCCTTATACTTTCTTTGGCTCTGTCACTTTCAGTTGTGCTGGACTTCACCCTTGGACCCTCGGAAGCGTATTTCATTGTGTTTCGAGACAGATGGAATCCAACACTTCTAAGTGTGATACACACAGTGAGAAATACACACATCTCCATAAGTGCCTAGAGTACTTCAGTACCTTATGTCCGTAATCCTTACAGCAGTCACATAAAGTAGTAAAGTTATTAAGTAAACTATTGTTTATTGTCCCTAAAAACAGGTGCCTAGGATCTGTACAAAGAATATAGCGGAGTTATTCAAGTAAGTTTTACTCAGAGTAGACTCACTGAGTATGACTAAGTTAGGTCTGTTAATTAAGTGGAATGGTCTCCCCTCTCTTCGTGCCATGTGCTGTTCTGGTGGTTCTCCCAACTGCCCCAGAACCAATTTCAGGGGGCATGAGAGGGACATGGTGGGAATAAGAGGGGAGGAAGCCCCATTGTGTAGTGGAAGTCCTTGTGCAGAGTTTCTGGTGATGGGTCTTGTTAGGTGTAGCTATTAATGAGTCTTGAAACATCACATGCTGTCAGAGTAGTTGAATGAGGAGGGCACACATTTCTGGGATATTTTGCTTGTTGCAATGAAAAAGGAAGCTGCAGGGGCCACATCCCTAATAAACATAATAAACACAGAGGATGCAAGTTAAGAATATTATTTGAAACCTAGATATCTTACAACCACTTAGGAATATTCAAGGATTTCATTCAACTTGCATTTTGAAGTGAACCATCCTGGTTTGTACTTTCCAGTCTAACACATATATTAATCTGCAGCCATCCTTCAGTTTTCACATGTCTCCAAATTAAGCAATGCAATTATTGGTCTAAAAATATGCATATTCCAAAATGCACATTTTAGGGGGGATACCAAAAATTCATTTTTGGCACAGTTTTTTAAAAATGAAGTAAAAATAAAAAAATCACAAACAGTGCAGACTTGGGGCAGAAGAGAGTTATGATGGAAAAGATGCACAACTGAGACAGAGCAGAAATAGATTGTCCATCCCTACAGCCAACACCAAACCTGCAAATTTTGTTAGAATAATAGAATGGTAGAGTTGGAAGGGATCCTGTGGATCATCTGGTCCAACCCCCTGCAATGCAGGAATCTGTCCCATGCGGGGATTGAACCAGCACCCTTGCCATTATCAGCACCACACTCTAACCAACTGATCTATACAGGCATTTTCCTGTTGTTTCTGCTTTTGGACCCAGAAGCACTACAGAGACCCAGAGTTACTCTGCCTCTGAGCACAGCAGCAGCATCCAGCAATCCTGGCTACTAAGTTTGATGTTTAGTGAAATTTCGTTACAGGTCTCCTATCAGCATTAAAGAGGGAGATGTCAAGTCTACGGTCAGCTTAACGTATCAGGTTGCCTCCCTCCCTTTAAAGCATTTTCTTGTGCCCTGACAGAGACCCTTGCAATATACTGAATCACACCATGAACTTTACAAAATGTCAGCAATTCCTCTGCATGCTCATACCCTTGTTATTTTAAACAACAAAAAAGCCACATTGCATCCCCCACCCTCTCCAAATAGTCTTCATTCACATTAAGACCCAGTGGCCTGCAAAATTAAAAGTATTGAAGCGTACACAATCTCTGATCAGAACCTTCCCCCCCACACCCCCAAAAAAGAAAGCTAATGAAAAGATCAACAATAGACCACCTATGAAATGTACAGGTTTGGAAAATTCTGTTATGGTTAGATAAGTTCAAGGCTGTAATCAAACAATACTCATCTTACTTGAATGCTGATCTTTCAAATATGCATGGTTGACTGAGGCGAGGGGGCAGGGGAGAAGGATTTTGAGATCAACTTTTGTGCCTTCTGTGATATATTAATTTATTTATTAGAACCTCATAGTGGGCTAGGCCTGCCCAAATGTTTCTTACCCCAGTTCCTAACTTTAGAGGAGCATAGGTAGCAGGGACCAGTTACGCCATGATGTGGGTGGAGGCGGTGCATCTAGTTGCACCTCCCATTGAAAAAAGAACGAAACGTGGATAGAGATTGGTATTAGAGTGAAAAACAGGTTGTTCGTGCTCTTTACGTTGGCAGCTCCTGATTCAGCAAGTGATAAACAGATGTGGAAGCCTGCTCATCAGTCTGAATCTGGGTGTCACACAAAGCAAATTACATTCCCAAACTGTGCATCCAGGCAAAATTGAAGTTTACCTTGTGCCACCATGGTGGGCCCCATGCAGAACTGATTGCCCCGTCTGTCTGCTCATATAAAGGGAATGGATATCATCCTGATCACATTTGCATTTATATCCATCATCCCTCCAAGGAGCTCAGGACGGTGTGCATGGTCTAGTAATTCCGTTTTTAATAAATGTTTATAGATTGCCAACATGCCGGCGTGAACCCCATCAGTTTACAAGTTAGTTTAACTTGAGAGACCATGACTGGCCCAAATAAGCTTCATGGCCAAACCAGAATTTGAACCCAAGCCTCCTCAGTTCTAGCCTGACATGCTGGCCACTATGCCAGGGTGGTTTTCACTCAGGGTACAGTCATCCTCAGGGAAGAAGTCCTCAAGTACAGCTGGCAGGTACAGGAGAACCCCCAAAGTGTCACCATCACACAGGAATGAATGAACTTTATTACGGTCACAGACCAGGATTAAGAAAAGCATATAGATAAAATAGCAGTTGGGATTTTTGACCAATAATTGTTAGGGCAAATGAGGACAAGGAAACAGGCATAAAACATCCGAATAAAAAACAAGATTAAACACAGATAATGGATGGATAAAAAACTAATAATTAAAACAGATAAGAGCTAAAAACCAACAAAGACACGCAGTTAAAACACCTGTAAGAGCATAAGAACTAAAAGACTCGCAGATAAAACAACTATAAGAGGCTGCAGAGTAGAAGCCTCTTAAAAAGAGGACACTCACAACATTAAAAACTGCTGTGCAAATATGGTTAAAACAGACAATTAAAACAATATACAACACTAAATTTAGAAACAATGTACAACAATAAACTGTCCCAGGGAGTTGACTCAGAATCACCCATGAAACCGTGTTTGGGGCTTTTCATGCCGGACTATTTTGAGCTGGGCGATGGTCTGCGCCTACAGATCTGTAGACAGAATCTGGTGACCATCCAGGTCATCTTCTGATCTTTGCCCAACAGCAAAAGGTCAAACTTTTGCTTTTGCGGGAGGTCGGTGAGCCTCCCCAGTAGGGGATCCATGATCTTACTACGTGCCTCTTTATAAAAGGGACATCTAAAGAACAAGTGTTCTGGGCTTCCTATCTCTCCCAATGGACAGGTGCAAAGTCTCTGAGCATACAGGACCCTTCTAAAGGCTCCATCCAGGACCGGCGAGGGAAGAGCCGAGCTTCTGGTGAGTGTAAAGGCCCTTCTTGCATCCCTAGATACGAGAAAGAAGAGATATGCTGCCGGTGCGGCTATATCTCTCTCAATTTCTCCAATTCTATAGTTGGGGCACCTTGCACAGTGTATTACACAGGAAGTGTGGTCCCATTCCTGAGCATTAGCTTCAGTGTGAATATTGGCAGACCATGGACTATTTAAAATGGCAAAAAGTAATAATTACAATTAAATGTTTATAGATGAGCTTTCCCAAATCTGGGAAAGATTCTAATAGTAACAGAGGCTGGATGATGGGTACATGCATGCAATCCCATGCTCAAATTTGAGCAAGTTCTGTCTCACACCAACTCTTCATACATCTGCTATGTACTTATTCTCCAGTTAACGAAGCCATTTAACAAATCTAAGGAAGTGAGTGGTCTAGGGGACGCTTGATGCTCAAGCATTGTTGCAACTAAACAGGTGTGCACCTGATCAGTATCTGAATGGCAAACCAGTGGCAGCCCCATGCTAGCTGCTTGGAACTTTCTAAGGAAAGATGAGATACATAAATAATGACATTTTAAAAATGTAAAGTTTAAAAACCTATAAAATGCATCTGAGTTCTGTACAGGTCAGGGAGAAAGGAGTTGATTCTGCATTTATCTACATGTGCTTCTTTGCATTCTTAATGGGCACGTTAATGAAATAATACAAGGAAGAAAAGTTTACCTTACGAAACTGAGAGGAGGGGATGGGGCACATGGAGTGACAGGATTGCAGCTCAGAGGCCACGAGCCCAGTCCCCACCATCCCCAGTCAGAGAGGGAATGTCAGGGTTGGAGTCAGGCCTAGTGGCCTCAGCAACTCTTTCCATGAGGTCTTGCCCCAACGAAGCATTTGAGAGGACTGGAGGCTCCTACTCTGGTTCCTTCCCCTGGTTCCTTCTTGCCTCTCATCGCTCTGCTCTCTTTATTTCTCTGTGTGTTCTGGGAAACCAGGGTGGAGGGGAGCTGGTCATAGCCGGAGGGGAAGACTCCCTGTCTTCTTTCACAGCCTGCCTACACTCATCCTCTGAGTCTGCACTGCTCTCTGTCACAGCCTCTTCTTGCTCACTAAACCCTGTCGTCTCATCTGCTCCAACACTTCCTCCCAGTCTCCTCCTTCTCCCTCTGTCCACTCATCATCGTCCCACCACTAATTCCCTGGCTCTGAGGCTTCTTCCCCTGGATGTTCCCCAGCTGGTGCCTCCAACCAGTCAATCCATGACAGGGAAAGTCTGGTCATGAACCCTGGACAGCCACTCTTCTTAAGTTCTTATGAAACATTTCCAATACACACCACGATTGTGTTCAGCAGTGTTCAGCAATGGGAGCATCTTAAGCTTTTTCTGCCAGAATGGTTAACTTGTGGTCCCCAAGATGTTGGGGCCATCATCCATGACAATTTACCATGCTGGCTGGGGCTGAATGGTATTGGAGTCCAGCCTCCCCTGCTTTCCTGGAGCCTGTGGGGAGTTTACATTTAGTGTCAAGATCTTTAGTGTAGGACTTAGGGGTGGGGAGAGACTGTAGTTTTTCAGCAGTTAAGGAATGCTGTAGTTGTAACAATACCCTATTCTCCTTCTATGTAATCCTGACTTGGAAACCATGATAAATAAATACAATGTCAACTGTGACAAAATGTTGTAGTTTCATGTTGTTGGTTTGCAAATTGAATTTTTACATAAAATTTACACTAAATGGAACCTCATTATATAGTGATGAGGTCCGGTATGATCCAAATCATTAAAATCACTGTACTGCTTAATGATTCACTAAGTGGTACTGCAGTGCCATAAATTTAGCACTAGTTTCATGATTCAAAACACTAGGCTGAGACACCAGCAAATCGTATGTGGATCATTAAATTTACAATGAATGTCAGAGATGAAATAAGGGGGAAAAACACTTTGAGAGAACGGGATAATATGTGCTCTAAGGTGACATCCATCAAGATAAATGATCTTACCCTACTTGCACTTGTTATTCTTCATTTTATTTGGGTTTTTGTTTTTGTTTTGTTTTTGTTATTCTTCATTTTTATAATTTCCAAGGGGGCTGGATGCTTCTAAGAATGAAAGTAGCTGTCATTCTCTGACTCTTTTGTGAACAACTTGATTTGCATTCAGGTCACTGAGATATATGTTGAGGAATGGTGACCAAATTGTGGCACTTCAGAAGGCGCTACTGATCTAAGAGACCACGGGCAGGATCAGATGGTGATGAGGTCTAAAGGGCAAGGCCAAAGTCTTCTCAGAAAAAGTGGGTTGTGAACTAAGATTTGAAGGGAGAGAGGTGAAATGACATAGGTAGCCAGGAAGAAATACAAAGTCTTTAAAGGCAGGGTTTCTGTGTTTTGGCCATCAAAAATAACTATAATCTCTGTAGCACTTGCTGACCTTTCACTGATTCCTAAGCTGTCTGCCCTGTGTACAAGAAGACCTGGGCCAGAACAGAACACAACATGGGATAGGTTCTCTGCTGTTATTGCTTCATGAACATCCTTTGTACATTGATGGCTATTTGTGAATGAGGGCCTAAACCTGTGTCTACACTCTACCACTTCAGGTTGCAAGTGGAGGACACATACTGGGAATTGACTCCGATAAAGAGATTGAACTGAATATTCTAGTCTTCCACACAGACAAATAAGTATATTTTTCTGCACATAGAAATCTAGATGTCAAGGACAGGGGTGACATGCCACAGTTTTCTATGTGTAAGCTTTCTGGTTTTGTATGGATGCACGCACATGATCTCCCCACCTGTGGGAGCATGAAATTTCCACTCACGAGCCTTAATACACT